AGTGGCAGATAACATTGTGAACTGGCTCAGAGAGAGGAACATCAAACCAGACCCTACCCAGGCCATTGGAGGGACAGCACCAGCACCTGAACACCAAGGGTGTAGGGGGGGTCATACAGTGGATAGAGCGGAAGATTGGGAGGAAGGTCTGGATTGTTTGTGACCTCCACACCAACGAGTTGCCGCTCAGACATCTGATCCAGGAGCTGGATGGCAAGATAACTTTCAAGCAACAGATGGTCTGGGTCCTCTTGGCAAGATGCTGAGACTTACCACTGAGTTAGAAATAAATCCGAGCTTTGAAAAAATGCAGTTGGCCCTCCTCGTTGAGCTTGCATACTGTCATTGACGGCCTGAGTACTGACCAGTACTATGGTTACATGATTTGCAGTGCCACCATCAAAACTGGGGTCATGCCTGATAGGGCTTGCTTACCTGCAGATAGGTCCAGTCTTACATTCTGGGTGGCTCACAGCAGCTCTCAGGTTCTGCAGAATTTGGGTCGCTCATCTCGCCAAGCTGAAAGGAACCAGCTTCACAACCTGAGACTTATTGTCCAATTCATCGTGAGAGTGTCTACTTGCGAAGTGGTTCAGCACCAGGATCAAGTCATCGTTCTCCGAAAGGTCGAGGTATGTTCTCTTCCAGCTTGAGCTCCTGAGAGTCAGCCAAGAGTTGTTCCAGATTGTGGAGCAGACTGTGGGAGATCTTCCTGGTATGCTCGGCTTAGAGAGGATAGTTTCTGCAGACCAATGCTCTTGAAGTAAGGATGAGAGGGGAGAGTGGCAGTCAAAAAGATCTTGGATATAGGACCTTAAGGGAGGGATCATGGGCATGACAGATCCGAATTTGAGGTGACGATTCCTTCAGGGGTCAGGGAAGACTCCTGAAGTCAATCTAGGTGCCAAGACCCTCACTGATCTCATAGATCTGGATAACATCAGGCTGGCAGTGAGCCCCTCTTGCCTGCAGCCTCCACCAATGTTCAAGTCAGAGCTTTCCTGGACAACCCCATGCATGTCCTGCCTGGCCCTCACACCCAGAGTATAGGCGTTGTGTGTACAGCAAGTGGCCGAGGCCAGCAGTCACGTCAGCCACAACCAGGAGAGGAGAAAGGCTACATCCAAGCTCAGGTGGTCAGCAGGGAGGTGATGAGTAGAAACAGAAGCAAGAAAGACATGTTCTCTATGGTGTGCAGCAACACCGGGTCGTAGTAGTAAAACCGGTTTTTGTATTTGATGATTTTGTTTTCTAAAGGAATATTAAATTTAATAAATGTGTCAAGATCATTCGTTTCACTATTCTGGATCATTTTCATCCTAATAAATTAACCTGATACATTTACTTTACTTTAAATAAGCTATTTAGTGGTGTTGGTAAAAGGGTGGGAATACTGAATTTTCATAAGATTTCAAGTTAAAATTTACCTAGCAAAAAATGAAAACTTTTCAAATCTGAAGATATCACATGATTCTGCACATAGAACTACATCATTAATACCATGGGCCGATTTTTCAAACTAAAAAAAAAAAAATTCGCCTCCGTATGACACACCCTAATGGTGCATCCTAGAGTGCTAAGAGAGTTGTGCAACGAGCTTGCAGAGCCCCTGAAGATCCTGTTTTTGTAAATGCCTGGACGAACAAATGGTCACTAGTGAATGGAAAGTGGCTTATGTGAGTCCTAGCTTCAAGAAGGGCGATCGTCACTCCACGAACAACTATAGACCGGTGAGCATGACTAGCATAATATGTAAAGTACTTGAGAGTATTATCAGAGATGCCGCAATGGAACATCTAATACGAAACAACCTTGTAAAAGATTGCCAACACGGTTTTATGCCGGGGCACTCCTACTTAACACAATTGCTCAAGGTATTGGATATTTGGACCCATATTCTGGAACGGGGTGGTAATATCGACAATATTTACCTAGATTTTGCCAAGGCTTTCGACAGTGTACCCCACGAAAGGCTTAAAATCAAACTGAAAGGGTACGGAATTCGGGGAAATGTCCTAGCGTGGATAGAAGACTTTCTACATGACCGCAAGCAGTGTGTGGTGATTAATGGTACGAAATCGTCATCTGTACCTGTCACAAGCGGGGTACCACAGGGCAGTGTATTGGACCCGCTGTTGTTTGTTTGTTTCATAAATGACATGCCTGACGTTGTACACTCCTCCATACAAATGTTTGCCGATGACGCCAAGTTATTTCGGGAAATTAAGAATCAAGCGGACTGTGAAGAGCTGCAGAAGGATCTCTGTGGGCTCCAGGAATGGTTGAAGAAATGGCTGCTGAGATTCAATGTCACGAAGTGTAAGAGGATGCACCTGGGGCGTACCAACGGTAGGGAGGCGTATCATATGTCCCAACGGGATTAAGAAACTGCGCTAGTTGAGACTGTGTGTGAGAAGGACCTAGGTGTGTATGTTGACAATGAGCTGAAGTTCTCGGGCCATTGTGAGAAGAAGGTAAATCAGGCAAATAAATTATTGGGTCTTATAAGAAGGTCGTTCAGATATCTAGACGGTCCGTCCCTTGTTACGATCTTCAGGAGTAAAGTGCTTCCCTATCTGGAGTACTGTCACCCCATCTTGTCCCCGAGATATGCTAGGGACTGTCAGTTGGTTGAAAATGTTCAAAGGAGGGCCACTAGACTGGTGCCTGCACTTCGGCACCTCAACTACCCTGAGAGATTGGAGCGCCTGAACTTGCCTAGCTTATACTACAGACGGGCAGGGGGAGGGGGGGGGATCCTAGTTGAGGTGTATAAGCATCTCAGGGGGCACTACTCAGCTGCGTGTCCTTACTTGGAGCTGGCGGACGCTCGCCCCACAAGGGGTCACAGCTCAAGATTAAAGAGCCGCAAGTCCAGAAAACCGTGAGGGCAAACTTTTTTGGAGTGAGGGTTGTAAACTCTTGAACCAATCTACCAGAGAGTGTTGTGACTGCACCGAGTGTGAGCTCTTTCAAGACAAGACTTGACCAACACTGGAGCGGGTTCAGGTACATTCAGGAGCCGGTGCATGCCCAGTATTTGCCAACAGTGCGTGACAGAGACGTGACCGATCGCCCGGGTGGCTAGCGAGCCGATCTTTTGGTGAAGAAGATAAATGAAAATGAAAAGTAATCAGAGACGTGACCGATCGCCCAAGCGGCTAATAAGCCGATCAGTGGCGAAGAGGATAAAAGTAAAAAGTAAATGTACAAAAAATTCAAACAAATTGCCGTGATGTAGATTTACTTTAGTTACCCTCTCAAAAATTTTCTCTTTAAAATCTTAACAGAAGACGGAGGAATTATTTTATTGCATAACTATAAGAAAAGGATTAATTTTACTTCGTACAGCAGAGCACCTTCTACAGCGAGGATACTCTATATTTAGTAGTATCAAGGAAGCATAAGCTTCTTAAAGATGCACCTATTTTTCCTGGTTGCCTTATTCAGCGGGCAGTGCCTAGTGGTCTTCTTCAGCTGCAAAAGCAGATAGTGCTCCACTGATTCGTCACTGAGTGAAATAGCACTTTGCCTCTGTTCTGCATGATGAGTTACTTGACTTTACATTACCCTTATTCTCTTTGCCACTGATCGACTCGTTTGCCACTTGGGCGGTCGGTCACGTCTCTGTTACGCACTGTTGGCAAGTATTGGGCATTCACTGGCTCCTGAATGTATCTGAAGCTGCTCCTGTGTTGGTCAAGTCTGGTCTTGAAACAGCTCACACTCGGTGCCGTCACAAAACTCTTTGGCAAGTTGTTCCAAGAGTTCACAACTCTCACTCCGACAAAGTTCGCCCTCACAGTTTTCTGAACTAGTGACTTCTTCAACCTTGAGCTGTAACCCCTTGTGGGGAGAGCGTCCGCCAGCTCCAGGTAAGGACACTCGGCTGAGTAGTGCCCCCTGAGATGTTTATATACCTCAATTAGACCCCCCTTGCCCTTGTGTAGTATAAACTAGGGAGTTGCAGGTGCTCTAATCTCTCAAGGTAGCTGAGGTGCCGAAGTGCAGGCACTAGTTTGGTGGCCCTCCTTTGGACATTTTCAATCAACTGACAGTCCATAGCATATCTAGGGGACCAGACGGAGTGACAGTACTCCAGACGGGGAAGCACCTCACTCTTGAAGATCGTTTCGAGGGACGTGTAGATATCTGAACGGCTTTCTTATAAGACCAAATAATTTAGTTGCTTGATTCGTTTTCTTCTCACAATGACCCGAGAAATTCAATTCATTGTCAACATACACACCTACAGGGGGTAGGTCCTTTTCGCATTCAGTCTCAATTAATGCAGTTTCTTCGTCTCGTTGGGACATATGATACGCCTCCTTACACTTCGTAAAAAAATAAATAAAAAAATACACTTCGTTACATTGAATCTTAGCAGCCATTTCTTCGACCATTCTTGAAGCTTACAGAAATCTTTCTGCAACTCTTCACAGTCTGTTTGGTTCTTAATTTCCATAAATAACTCGGCATCGTCCGCAAACATTTGCATGGAGGAGTGTATAGCTTCTGGCATGTCATTTATGAAACAAACAAACAAAAATGTGCCCAATACACTGCCCTGCGGTACCCCGTTTGTGACGAGTGCACATGACGATTTCGTGCCATTAATCACCGCACACTGCTTGCGGTTATGAAGAAAGTCTCCGATCCACCCGAGGACACTTCCCCGAATTCTGTACCCTTCCAGTTTAATTTTCAGCCTTTCGTGGGTACTCTTCTAGCATAAAATTTATTATTTCATCCGGGGGCGATCAGAGAAAAACGATTTTGATTGCATCTAAGAAACGGCAAGAAACGTTTTTATATTCAGTTGCTACCTGTATACATAGGAGTTCTATTTCACATTTTTGTTGTTGTTGGTGGTGGACTAGTCTATTAGTAACCTTGCTTCGCACGTAAAAATCTTAGTTGCTAAAACGCAGTACTTTAATAACATTATAACATCAACATTAAGTACAGAGGAGTCAGCTGCTGGTTTGAAAGACACACTATTGGTTTGGGGTTTTATTAAATACAAAAGTATAACTAAATAATGTGTATTGATGAATAAAAAGTATTTATAAAATATCAAAATGATGTAGCATATAAAAAGCTCTTGTAATTTGACTGTTTAAATCAAAAGATGAAAATACTTAAGGGCGAGAAGTCAGGCGAATCTCCTTTTATAATTTACAACCTAAGGGCAGCTAACTCACCAGGGGACACGTGGACAAATACAAGTTGAAGAAAAATTTAATTTACATCAGAAGTTATGAAAAGTTCACACTCTTGGATACGACACCTACCCAGAACGTGTCCATAGTCTGCACCACAGTTGCCCTGCAACATGGAGAATTAAGAATGGAATTAAAATCACAAATAGTATCAGATTTAAATATGGATTCAGAATTAAACTTATTTTAAAATTAAATATAAAATCTGAATCAAGGTTAATATCACACATTTTAATACACATTTAACCTCATAAAGATATTTTTGTGATACTGTACTACATAACTACAGTGTACAATTACTGTATACATGTCCAGAGCTTATGTCTTTCTGGTTATTTGAAGGTCTAGTTAATGCTTCAGCCAGACTTTCCCATTAACACCAACACAGGAAAGGTCTTGTATTCACCTTTTAGTTAATACCCAATATAAGACACCCTTCAATAATGACTTACTTACTACACTTATCATCTTTCTAATATTAACTAATACGACATATACGTACAAGGACAGATACCGGTACAAGGACAGGTACGTCTACAAGGCCAAGTATAAGTACAAGGATAGGTACAGGTACAACGACAAGTACAAGGACAGAGTCAAGGAAAAGGACAGACCTTGTAAGGTATACGTTCTCATACTCACATGAAGCTGACGGAGCCTGTAAAGCCCACAGGTGGCTGCCAGGTGAGAGTGACAGAGTTCTTAGCGGAGGGACCGGCGTGGTGAGCCCCAGTCTTTAAGATGACAAAGTAAATAAACTTTAAGACTTTATCGTAAAGTTATACTTAATTTATGGAATTCAGTTCAAGCTTTAAGTTAACTCTTGGGATTCAGTTCAAGCTTTAAGCTAACTCTTGGGATTCAGTTCAAGCTATAAGCTAACTCTTGGGATTCAGTTCAAGCTATAAGCTAACTCTTGGGATTCTGTTCAAGCTTTAAGTTAACTCTTGGGATTCAGTTCAAGCTTTAAGCTAACTCTTGGGATTCAGTTCAAGCTATAAGCTAACTCTTGGGATTCAGTTCAAGCTTTAAGCTAACTCTTGAGATTCTGTTCAAGCTTTAAGCTAACTCTTGAGATTCTGTTCAAGCTTTAAGTTAACTCTTGGGATTCAGTTCAAGCTTTAAGTTAACTCTTGGGATTCAGTTCAAGCTTTAAGCTAACTCTTGGGATTCTGTTTAAGCTTTAAGTTAACTCTTGGGATTCAATTCAAGCTTTAAGCTAACTCTTGGGATTCTGTTCAAGCTTAAAGTTAACTCTTGGGATTCAATTCAAGCTTTAAGCTAACTCTTGGGATTCTGTTCAAGCTTTAAGTTAACTCTTGGGATTCAGTTCAAGCTTTAAGCTAACTCTTGGGATTCTGTTTAAGCTTTAAGTTAACTCTTGGGATTCAATTCAAGCTTTAAGCTAACTCTTGGGATTCTGTTCAAGCTTGAAGTTAACTCTTGGGATTCAATTCAAGCTTTAAGCTAACTCTTGGGATTCTGTTCAAGCTTTAAGTTAACTCTTGGGATTCAATTCAAGCTTTAAGCTAACTCTTGGGATTCTGTTCAAGCTTTAAGTTAACTCTTGGGATTCAGTTCAAGCTTTAAGCTAACTCTTGGGATTCTGTTCAAGCTTTAAGTTAACTCTGGGGATTCAGTTCAAGCTTTAAGCTAACTCTTGGGATTCAGTTCAAGCTTTAAGCTAACTCTTGGGATTCTGTTCAAGCTTTAAGTTAACTCTTGGGATTCAATTCAAGCTTTAAGTGACGCTTGAGATTCAGTTCAAGCCCTAAGTAACACTTGGGATTCAGTTTAAGCTTAAAGTAACTCTTGGGAACTCTAAACTTTACGTAACACTTGTAATCTCAGCACCCAACATCGTGTATTTAGAATGACGTAATGGAATTCATGTCTAAAATATTTAAGTTAATAAGCTAAGGTTTATTGATAAGGGTAAGACTTTGTATCATCAGTTAATTATTGTTTTGAATATTTCATGAGCTTGGGGAGAAATATTGAGACAAATATCAACATTAAATATGATAAAAAGCATTGAATAAAAAAAAATCTGTAATGAATATCGAACATTAACAAGAACATTCTACAAGTCCAGACAAAAATGTTAACAATTTATTATACACTTCATGATAAACTATTACTAGTACGGAAGAAGAAACAGCAGGTGTGGATCCAGGGGGGGGGGGTCCTGGTGGTCCGGACCCCCTCTTTTTATCAGGAAATTCCAAGACTTTTTCTTCAATGCAGTATTGTACTCAGGTGTTTTTCTATAGTAAAAAGAAATTACTAATGACCTCAGAATATCTCCTAATATTAAGTGCACATGGCCTCAAAATGCCCATGATATTGGTCAGATTTAAAAAAGGCCCGATCGCTTACATCCCCCCTCTCAAAAAAAAAATAGCTGGGTGGGCTCGCTATGCTCACCATGTTCCCCCACCACAACTTCTGGGACCCCCTCCTTTTGATATTCTTGGATCCGCCCCTGGACAGTCTAGCTGGCCCTTAAATACGGGTCTCAGATTCTCATAGGCTCGTGTACATTCCCCTCCCCAGGACCACAGCATTCCTGCCACAAGCCTTCAGATGAATATGCCGCCATTAACAAAAAATCGATATTTACACCTAAAGAAAGTTTACATAACCTAAAAATATTTATGAGATTATCTGAATAGTATGTTCCCACTCCCCAAAGGGAACCATTGCCCCTATATCTTTACAAGGTTGAGAGCGAATGAAACTGAATATGTAAAGGCGTGTTTTATGATCCATGGCGGTCTGACAGTCAGCCAGGGAGCCTTTTCTAGATGCTTGTGCCTCTCTCCATATATCTGTTCCCTGTTTGTCTAGACCAACCAGCCATTATCCATTTGTATACACTGTTCTATCTGCGCTTGTACCTTTATATGCTGATCATAAACACATGAGTTTCCATTGTAAAAATACAGTGACAAATTTGATGTTCCAGTGAGTACAACACCATCAGGGCCATAATACCACCTGGACCACAATACCACCTGGACCACAACAACCACCTGGGCCACAATACCACCTGGACCACAACAACCACCTGGACCACAACAACCACCTGGACCACAACATCCACCTGGACCACAACATCCACCTGGACCACAACATCCACCTGGACCACAACATCCACCTGGACCACAACAACCACTTGGACCAAAACAACCACCTGGGCCACAACAACCACCTGGACCACAACAACCACCTGGGCCACAATACCACCTGGACCACAACAACCACCTGGACCACAACAACCACCTGGACCACAACATCCACCTGGACCACAACATCCACCTGGACCACAACATCCACCTGGACCACAACATCCACCTGGACCACAACAACCACTTGGACCAAAACAACCACCTGGGCCACAACAACCACCTGGGCCACTCACCGCCACACCACCACAGTCAATTGTCTTGGGAGCGTTGGTGAAGGATCCAATGGCTCTCCCGGTGGCGTCGTCAAAGGCTTTCACGAAGAAGCCTCTGAACATGTCTCTTGGACCTGCACCCGCGAGCACCACTGAAATGACGAGAGGGTGAGATAGTATGATAGTATAGATGATAACGTACCAGGATAATAGTATAGTACATAATATGCTAAGATGGTAGTAGAGCAGGATTATAGTATAGCAGGATAATAGTATAACAGGATGATAGTACAGTATAGCAAGGATGATAGTATTGTACATAATATAGTAGGATGATAGTATAGCAAGAGGATTGTGTGGTAGGATATTAGTATAGCAGGATGATTGTATGGCAGGATGATAACATAGCAGGATGATTGGGGAGGTAGAGAGAGGAGGAAGTAGGAAACAGAAGGAAGGGGAAGGTAGAGGGAGGAGGAAAAGGGGAGGCAGAAGAAGGGGGGGAGAGAGGAAATGGGGTAAGTGGAAGGAGGAGGGAGGGCGTAGGAAGAAGAGCCGTACAACTGTGAAAGTAGAGATGGTGGGGTGGTCATGGCCGCTCAGGACCCAACCTTCACTACCACCCAACCTTCACCACCCTCACCACCACCCCACCGCGCCACCCTCACCACCACCCCACCGCGCCACCCTCACCACCACCCCACCGCGCCACCCTCACCACCACGTACACTTACGCACAGCACACAAACACAAACACACAAAATCAAACATCCACACACACACACACACACACACACACACACACACACACATACACACACTGTCAATCATTCAGAAATAACAAAATAACAGTGAAAGAGGTAAATACAGACATGTAAGGTACTAAGAGGGGTTGAGATACACAATACTTTATTCAACAGTACTTTGGGTATCAGGTCACATAGTGTTTTATAGGTCAGAGGTACAGGCTAGATGACCGACCTGTGGCGATGAGGATGAAGTAAGGTAAAGTAAAGTAAAGTAAGATAGAGTAAAGTAAAGTAAAGTAAAGTAAAGTAAGGTAGAGTAAAGGTAAAGTAAAGTATTATAGAGTAAAAATAAATTAAGTAAAGTAAGATAGAGTAAAGTAAAGTAAAGTAAAGTAAGGTAGAGTAAAGGTAAAGTAAAGTAAAAAGTAAAGTAAGGTAGAGTAAAGGTAAAGTAAAGTAAAGTAAAGTAAGGTACAGTAAAGTAAAGTAAAGTAAAGTAAAGTAAAGTAAGGTAGAGTAAAGGTAAAGTAAAGTAAAGTAAAGTAAAGAAATATAGAGTAAATATAAATTAAGTAAAGTAAGATAAAGTAAAGTAAAGTAAAGTAAAGTAAAGTAAAGTAAGGTAGAGTAAAGGTAAAGTAAAGTAAAGTAAAGTAAAGCAAAGTAAGGTAAGGTAAAGTAAATTAAAGTAAAGTAATATAGAGTAAAAATAAATTAAGTAAAGTATGACAGAGTAAAGTAAAGTAAAGTAAAGTAAGGTAGAGTAAAGGTAAAGTAAAGTAAAGTAAAGTAAGGTAGAGTAAAGGTAAAGTAAAGTAAAGTAAAGTAAAGTAAAGTAAGGTAGAGTAAAGGTAAAGTAAAGTAAAGTAAATCAAAGTAAGGTAAGGTAAAGTAAAGTAAAGTAATATAGAGTAAAAATAAATTAAGTAAAGTAAGATAGAGTAAAGTAAAGTAAAGTAAAGTAAAGTAAAGTAAAGTAGAGTAAAGGTAAAGTAAAGTAAAGTAAAGTAAAGTAAGGTAGAGTAAAGGTAAAGTAAAATTAAGTAAAGTAAAGTAAGGTAGAGTAAAGGTAAAGTAAAGTAAAGTAAAGCAAAGTAAGGTAAGGTAAAGTAAAGGTAAAGTAAAGTAAAGTAATATAGAGTAAAATTAAATTAAGTAAAGTAAGATAGAGTAAAGTAAAGTAGAGTAAAGTAAAGTAAAGTAAAGTAAGGTAGAGTAAAGGTAAAGTAAAGTAAAGTAAAGTAATATAGAGTAAAAATAAATTAAGCAAAGTAAGATAGAGTAAAGTAAAGTAGAGTAAAGTAAAGTAAAGTAAAGTAGGGTAGAGTAAAGGTAAAGTTAAGTAAAGTAAAGCAAAGTAAGGTAAGGTAAAGTAAAGTAAAGTAAAGTAAGATAGAGTAAAGTAAAGTAAAGTAAAGCAAAATAAAATAGAGTAAAGTAAAGTAAAGTAATATAGAGTAAAATAAATTAAGTAAAGTAAGATAGAGTAAAGTAAAGTAAAATAAAATAGAGTAAAGTAAACTAGAAAGAATAAATTAAAAACAAGTAAAGCTAAGTAAGATAATATAGAATAAAGTAAACTAAATAAAGTGAAGTAAATTAAAAAAAAAGTATAAGAATATGGCAGACATTCAGATAGACAGACCGACAGACAGACAGACATTCAGAGAATCCGCCAGGCAGACAGACAAACAGACAGACAGACAGGCTGATAATGGTAGGGTGATAATGGTAGTTTAAGATTACTACCATGACAAATTATGTAAACAAACGTAAAATAAAATCAAAGGAAGAAATTATAGGAAATAAACTGGTAATAATAGTTAATAAATTCTTAGATAAACAAAGGAATAAATTAACAAGAGATGAATGAATGTGTTGAATCCTTTGACGACTTGACAATGAAAGGGAAGGGGGACTGGCCGAGAGAGGAGGGGGGAAGGGAGTTAGGAGGGAGGGAGGGAGGGGGTGGGAGAGGGGGGAACTAATAAAGGACGGAGGGAGGAAATGGGGAAGTATAGGGAGGGAAGACTGACATCGTAAGGGAGGGAAGTATGGAGAGGGAGGAGGAAGTGATGGGAGGGGTAAAGGGGAGAGGGTGATAGAGGTTGTGTTGACGGACGGAAGTTTTCAACAGTATTATTAGGGAGTAAATATTTGATCACGAAACTCACATCCGATGGGTAGTGGTCCTCCTCCCCACGTCCAGAGTGGGAAGGGGGGGAGTCACATGCACAGGAGAAAGGGGTAGTAGGGAGGGGAGGGGAGGGAAAGGGAGAAGAGTGGTGTGGGAAGGTGGCGGAGAGATAGGGAGGAGGGGAGATATGCACAGGAGAAAGGGGGAGGGGATGGGAGGGGAGGGGAGGGGAGGGGGAGAGACTGGGATGGAAAGGAGGTAGACATGCACTAAAACATGTGTTATACTCACCATTGACTGGAGAGTTGATAGCCTGGGTATTGCCTCTCACAATCAGGTTGTAGGGAGGCTGGGATAACTGGGCATTATGACCGTGGCTCGGCATCATTGACTGGCAGGCTTCAGCAGGCACCGTGGTACTCCTCCCTGCCACCCCTGCTACCAGACACAGCACCGCCACCAACACCCCCTCTGCTGTTGCTCCTGCCATGGTACTGAACCTGCCAACAACACACACATACCTTACTCTCACACTGGACACTGAATTTCCACTACATTATATTTACACGTGTGTGATTTATATGCCGTGTGAATATCGTGGGCAGAATGATAGTCGTTCAGTTGCCAAGTAAGCGGAAGGGGACCTGTACGTGTATTTACTGAAGGATGGTCACACTGATAAAATCCCCTGAGAGCTATCAATTATTTATTTATATTCTCATAATAATGTCTAGTTAGATATGCAATACTGTACACACTACTAGACCTCGACTCCCCCACACCTCACAACACCATTTTAAACACCCTTAACCGCATCACTTAATGAGGTTTGAGTGAAGAATTAACTTAATATTTAACGAGTTAACATAATATTTAGCAAAGTCATCAACCCTTAAAAGTCATCGTTTACCATGAAGCAACAAACTAGGTCAGCAAACACGACTACAGTTAGGTCGTGTTAGTAGTGTGACGGAGCCTCTGTTATTGACCACTTTTTATTTACCTGTCAACATAACCTAATTCCTTCACCAACGAGACCATATATATATATTTCTTTCAGTATTTTTTATTTTATTTACTTCATCACGATGTTGTTACGTATCACATATTTCGTTTGAGGTTTTGGTGAATGTGAGGGAAAGTACCAACCATCAATACCTTATATGTCCACATTAAGGTAGTTTTAGGGTAGGATAGTTAGGTTACAGTAGTTAGGTAAAGTTAGTTTGGTAAGGGTAGGTTAGTTAGGTATTTTAGGGTGGTTAGGTTAGGTTAGGTTAGGTAGATTCACAAAAATAGTTGTTAGATACACACATAAAACATTACATACATACATACATACGTACATACATACATACATACATACATATATATTCAGTAAAAGCGTCATACAAGTTTACATTGATTCAGCATGTATATAAGCAAACCAGGTGTACACACAATATCCACAGAGAGTGCGGGTATACAAACAATAGCAAACAGTGACTCGACTCAACCAGGGAGAGCCAACAAAGCTACCATATCTTTATTTCCAGTTGGGTATTTTGTTCATAAATATCATTGAGAGTGATAACCACGTGCAGCTAAACTTTAACTAAACCAAAAAAAATGGGCTTCCATTCTTCCTTGTTATTAAATTTCTTCCAGGTACACATCAAGACTAACCACAGGTGTTCCCCAGTGTAGACTACAAGGAGTAAAAACTCTCGTGGTGGTAGCCAAGGAGAGATGAGGCCTTTGGCGGTTCAACATAACCTTGGCATACTCCCGTTCGCTCCTATACATTCACCCGGCTGTCACTAGTTAAAATTACAACTTATTGTCACCCGCGGCATTGAGACACTGGTTGTAGAAGTTGTAAGATGTAGGAGTTATGATCAGTGACGGGTGACCAAATAGTACAATGTAATATAATGTTGATCGTAAGGACACGTATGGTAACAATATACTTTGTACCTTGACAAATATATTCATCAAAATATGAGACACTCTGGTTGATGGTGGGAGTCATCGTACAAAGAACAGATTCACAAGAGTTTCGCGTGATCAATAAGGCAGCATGATCTTGGGAGCCTCGAGGATTACGGTATAACTCATAAAAAGAGTCAGTCAAGAAGTTGTAATACAGATAGTACAGAGGAGCAGAACACTGGAGATGTACTAAAGAGCCAAGATATCTGAGGTAATTTTTTTTAAGACTGCAATTGCATGACCGTCTTCTCTTTGTCCGGAGTACAGAGAGAAGACTATTTCACAGCTATAAATGTCTAGACAGAAGAAACAAATGGCTCACGGCTAATGGAAAGTTCAGAACGTGAAATAAGTTCCCAGGACAGTTCGCATTCATTTGAACACGATCCTTAAATTGAAAAGTTGTTGATGTAATACAAGTAAACATAAAAAACTGATCTTACAACAAATAACACACTGACGTAACAATCCGCAGTGTACTAATCTGTATAAACATCTTCAATTCAAAATACAGATTTCACCCGACCTTACACCGCCAGTCTTGTACCGGCCAGCTTCAGTGGAGTCAAATCTGCCCGCCGGCTTAAAGAGACGGACACCGACTCCAGATAATATTAACCTTTCTGGACTTGCCGGTCAAACAGCCACTTCGATTCCTATGCTTTGATCAAGTCCTTTGTACACAAATAGTCCACATTTGTTCACCCTTGACCGAAGCATATATGGACAGCTACCCACAATAATTGCTTAAGTCCGGTGGCCCCCTCAGTGTGTCGAAACTGACCTCGGATTTAGGAAAAACTGAACCCTGATGTTACCTGTTTCACCTCCAGTAGCTCATAGTCATGTGGTCAGGGCCGGATTTACCAATAAGCCAAGTAGGCCATTAGCCTAGAGCCCACCGGTATCTGGGGGCCCACTGAAACTAATTTGTCGCGCAGCGTGCCAGCGTATAACCTTGTTTCAAGTGTATACACCGAGTATTTCATTATATAATATATTCACAACCATAAGGGCCCCTGTACAATAAGTATAGGCCTGCAGTGGTCTTCAACTGGTGGGCCACGGACTAGGCCCTCCTACGGCTTTTTTCTACATCGTTAAAGTCAAGGTCTTGGTTGAACCCTATACGTCGGTACACTACAACACCAGCACTGTCAACCCCAATCCACCCAGTCGCCCTCACACCAAACTTTACCGTAGCTGTATGTATCATCATCCGTGACATCTGTTCCAGCAATGATTTGGTTATTTAGAGTGTTATTTATTCTAGGGGATCAGTGTTATGTATTAATCATTTAAGAATTATCTGGACAATATATTAACGTGATATCGTTTATTTGTTTTAGGTTGATACTGTAGTTATCATCAATGTAAATTTTTTTCGCATATGATTATAATACGCCAATAAATTGTTGCTTTGCCGAAATACTTCTGTGTTCGTCAATTAAAATTTGTTTTTAGATTATTTCCATTTACCCACCAATGAAATAGATCCCAACGAGGTAATATCCGTGTCGTCACCAATGAAGTTTGTTTCAGCGTTGGCAAAGCTAAATATGGATTGAAGGATTTAGGTAAACAACTCTTCAAACAAGATATAATAGGGCACATTTCAAAGAGACATTCCAAATCCTGAAAGGGATGGAAAATGTGAACCCGGGACATTTCTTTGTGATGTGCATCACCAACACGAGAGGACATAACTTAAAGCTCGTATGTTTTCCTTTGTATACGTACTTATTAATGTACACACAGGTCAGTGCCGCAGACACATAATAATGTACTTTAAAGACAGCGTGGTATGTGCACATCTCCGTGAGGACGGGGTGATCCACTTCTCTTGTGGTTATAAAAAATTAATAACATTGTTTTTTTTTCATTAATGTCATCAAACACTTATTGCACAAGAGCCACTTTGCATAACTTTAAGCGTGACTTTAACAGCATCAATATCATACATTAACCCTTCAAGCAGTGTCGCCCTTGGGTATTTTATTCTGGTTAACGCCAGACGATCTAATTCAGCTGATATAAACCCCCACCATTCAATGGTTTAATAAATGAAACAGTCTTGAATAATAAAATTGGAGGGAAATATGATCGGAAAACTGTTAACTACAGATATCTACTTGTGCATTTTCCCCAAGTATTGTCTACACTACGTACATATACTGCATATACTGTAATAGGAATTACGTTTTTTGTTTAATGCAAAGCTTGTTAAACACAACACCGGCCAACACAACATTACCTGCACGGATAAAGTGCCTTCAGACGCCTCGCCACACAAGGGAGGTACGAGCTGTTCAAAGCCGACCTTTGTTTATATACCTTACCAGTGCTCCGCCCATCTCACCTTGATGCTGGCTTCTGATTGGTCGATGAGCTGAAGAGTGAAGACGGAGAAAGGTTAGAGAGAAATGGTGGATAAAGGTGAGAGGAGAGACCATGAATTAAGGAAAATAAGACACTGGTAAACATCTACATCGCTGTATACGGAAATAAGCCACTCGGACAAAATTTCAGTAATTTCCCATTAGAAAAAGTACCACCATCAAAAGGTGAACAAAATCTCGCAATTAAAATCTACACACCGGTAAAATATATTATTAGCACCGTCAACTAACCGCCAGCATGAGGATCAGCAATCACCATCATCATAAACATAACCATCTCTAATTTTAACAACGCTATCATCATCATCATCACTCAGCCGCCAGCACTACAGCTAACACGCAAATCACAGTACCTATCATTAGTGCAAATATTCAATCACCGCTTATACCTTGGCTGTTACTATCCAGCCTTCAGTAGCGTACCCTAGTCAAGAGTCCTGATATTAAAATATTGATATTGAAACAATTTATTTAGCCAAAAGAACACAGGTACAGTCGATTCAGAATCATAATAATAACATGGCTGAGCCAGTTGAGAGCCCGAGCTCTTTTGTAGGCACCTGATATATACTGTATATTTATCTCAAGGAAGTATTATGTTCTTCTTGTGTAAAATTTTATCATGACAGATTTAAGTAAACTGCTTTCAAAGCCTCCCAACACTGTTAACGAACTGAACTATGCCTGAAAGAGAATTTAGACTAAAAATAAACTTGAATATGTGAAATTGTTATGGAATTATTTTCGTGGCGGAAAATTGTCTTGTGAAGGTTTATTTTTTTACTTTTTTACTTTTATCCTCTTCGCCACTGATCGGCTTGTTAGCCGCTTGGGCGATCGGTCACGTCTCTTTTCCTTTATATTCTTCACCAAAAGGTCGGCTCGCTAGCCGCCCGGGCGATCGGTCACGTCTCTGTCACGCACTGTTGGCAAATACTGGGCATGCACCGGCTCCTGAATGTACCTGAACCCGCTCCAGTGTTGGTCAAGTCTTCTCTTGAAAGAGCTCACACTCGGTGCCGTCACAACTCTCTGGTAGATTGTTCCAAGAGTTTACAACCCTCACTCCGAAAAAGTTTGCCCTCACGGTTTTTGGACTTTGGCTTCTTCAATCTTGAGCTGTGACCCCTTGTGGGGCGAGCGTCCGCCAGCTCCAAGTAAGGACACTCAACTGAGTAGTGCCCCCTGAGATGCTTATAAACCTCAACTAGGTCCCCCCTTGCCCGTCTGTAGTATAAGCTAGGCAAGCTAGGCCGTCCCCGGCTCAGCCGAATTAAAGGCAGGCTAAACAGGACAGTTGCCCAGTTCCCCCCAACATGTTAAAAATATAAATAAATTAGATGAAAATGCAAAGAACAAATACAAATAGATATAGTAAATCATAGAGATAAAAAGCGATCCAATTTTTCTTCAAATGAAGTAGACTGTACATACTAGAGGCTTAAAAGGAAAAAAATAATGCCTTGTACATAAGGAATGATAAGAATCATTATATTGCAAATTAAAGTAAAATATAAATGTATCATTTCCCTTTCCATTTTTACTCTATCTAATTCAGGTCTGGTTTGTTTTACACCAGTTATTTTATTCGCATGACACCGAGCTTTATAATCTCCCCTTGAGTTTGTTACCTGATTCATTTAGTTAACAATTAAGCGAGACTGATAGAGTAATGTATATACAAATAGAACGTAAAATGGAAAAACATAAGCAGTGGGAGAAAGTGAGCAACAATTAACCCACAGATAAAGTAAACTACACAAACAAGGAGAAATAATTAGTAGTGGTGAAGAAGCCACAATAGCGAGTCACTAGCTTCCAAGTTCCACACAGTGAAAGTCGGCGCTAACCTTAACAGGAGGTCGCCATCCTCATCTCTTCCCTAAATGAATAAACCTGGTCAACTGCGATACAAATTGTCACTCAGACAAATCTTATCTGATCATCTCAACGAAATAATAATGATTATCTTAACCTGGTCCCATTATTTCTACAGTACTTATTTCTGGTTGTAGGATATTATGTTACGAGATTGTTTTCAGGCTCCCACTAAATTTAACAATATAGTACAGTACTATATTTGAAGCACAGATTTACACCAAGTCACTAGCCTAATCTATTCCTATTTAGGAAGGTGACATTGAAAAAAAAAATTATTGAATAGACCTTAATAACATCAGATGAGCGAGTAGCTAGTAAAGGGGAATGTGTGAAATTATTTCAAGGGTCATAAGCACAACTCTTCCACGATTTTTTTTTACCCAATATCTAGCATGTTGAGGAGAGTACAATACCTGTACTGCACTGCACTGTACTGTACATTACTGATATTTTGAAAGAAATAAAAACTAGGTTTTTTGTTTTGCAAAAAAATAAATTCTCCTGGAATTGAAAACTTAACTTATTCAAACATGAATAGTTCAACAATACAGAAAAACATAAAAAAAAATCATTATAAGCCCCCAAGGAGTACAGTAGTACGATACTATAATTATAAAGTTGCCCATGCACTGAAGTAATACCCTCAGTATAACACAATAGTACAGATTGCTGTGCAGAGACTGTATCATACAGGTATTGCATACTTGGGAGGTTCGAATAGAACTGTACTTTTATATAGTCATCACAGGTTGTCTTTTCTAAAAATACATTTACTTTGCCCTTCCACCCTTTCTGTGGTCATCCCGTGTACTGTATACAATACTTGCCAGTCATTTGTCAACAGTCTCATAAAAGTTACTACAGCCGTTCTTCAGTGTTCATTGTGTGTACAACCTACATTATCATTTGCCTTGCATTACACTGGTCTACAAAAACATATTTTTTTTTTCTGGCATGAAACCTTTTAACTGTTTTTTACTAACTTTAAGGTGCTGAATCCAAATCTGATCTCAGATTTGCTCCATCACGTAACGTGCCAGAATTTACTGAGCTACCAGAGATTGAGGATATAGACCGGAATTCACCTGTTTCTACTGATGAAGATGAAGAGACTGATCTTTTCAAGCCATCTGATGAAGATTGTGAAAAGCCAACGTTGTTTACTCAGTCAGAATTGAATGATCTGGTCCGAGATCTAAATTTGCCAAAACAGTCTGCTGAATTGTTAGCTTCCAGGCTTCAAGAGAAACGACTCTTAAAACCTGGCACGAGTGTCTCCTTTTATCGCAACAGAGAAGAGCAACTGCGGAAGTACTTTCATTCATATGACCAGCTTGTTTTTTGTAATGATGTAGAAGGACTTCTTCTCTCCATGGGACTACCAGCATATGATAGTAAGGATTGGAGACTTTTTATTGACAGTTCTAAAAGGAGCTTGAAATGTGTTCTTCTTCATAACGGAAACAAGTATGGTTCAATTCCAATCGGACATTCTGTACAAATTAAAGAAGAGTATGAAAACATTAAGACTGTTCTAGAGAGGTTGCAATACCATGCTCATGAATGGTTAATTTGTGTGGACTTGAAAATGGTAAACTTTCTATTGGGCCAGCAAGGAGGGTACACAAAATACCCCTGTTTTCTGTGCTACTGGGGCAGCAGGGCTACAGCAGACCATTGGGTGAAAAAGAATTGGCCACCAAGACATAGTTTGACGCCTGGTGACAAGAATATCCTTAACGATCCTCTGGTTGACAGGAAAAACATTGTCCTTCCTTCTCTGCACATAAAACTTGGTATCATGAAGCAATTCGTCAAGGCTCTTGATCATAGTGGAGTGTGTTTCAGATATATATGCTCAACCTTTCCAAGTCTTAGCGACGAAAAGAAAAAGGCAGGGATTTTTGATGGACCTCAAATAAGAACACTACTCAGAGATCCACACTTCCTTGCAACAATGACTGAGGCACAGGCAAGAACTTGGAATGCTTTCTCTAATGTAGTGCGGAACTTCTTAGGGAACAAGAAAGCGGACAACTGTCAAGAAATTGTGGAAGAGCTGCTCTTGAGTTTACAAGCACTTGAATGCAGAATGAGTATCAAGGTTCACTACTTACACAGTCACTTGGACGAGTTTCCAGAAAATCTGGGAGAAGTGAGCGAGGAGCAAGGGGAGCGCTTTCATCAAGACATTAAAGTAATGGAAGAACGTTACCAAGGTCGATGGGACTCGAACATGATGGCGGACTACTGCTGGAGTTTGATGAGAGACATTCCAGAAGCTGTACATAAGAGATCGGCCAAAAAGAGGAAGTTTATGTAACTGTAACTTGATCTTAATACTTGCACTATTTCTACCGTATATTAATTGTTTTTTTTCACCCTTCAATGTTACATTTAAATATTATATGTGCATTAACTTTCCAATTTGATATTAACAATTTTTGGTTATAGAAATATACAAATTATAATGCTGAAAAAATTTATGTATACATGTTTAAACCGTCAATTTTGATCCAAAAGTTTACGTTTCCCAGCAAAAGTGCAATATGGTATATCTCAAAAACCTGATGTGATAGACAAAAACCAAAGTCATATTTGGATTCTGTACCCCAAATTTACTTAAAATCCGTTTAAAAACCTTGTGCCAGAAAAATTTTGTTGACCGGTGTTATAATCCCTTCATATCTATCCTATTTATCTGCATATTTTACTTTGACCACTCCTGATTGTGCTCATTTCTTAATATACTGTGTGTAAGTCCACAAAAAGTACAGTACAGTACAGTACAATACAGTAACACTTTACCTACTACATTATAGTGTAGTGGATTTCTCTCCTACAAACGCCGTTTCTCGCTGCGTAGCCGACCCCGCGAATTCCCCAGTGTATGCCTCGTGGCCTGGGTCAACCAGCGCCGCCATACATCACGGAGGTCAACTACTAAGCCACGCCTACCCCCCGCTATTTAAGACCTGACCTCATGGTGATCTCTCTCTTTTCTACCTACACCAACCAGCCAGCAACACCTCCTCCTCCTCCGCCTGCCTGGCGGTCCTCGCTCCCGCCGGCGAGCATGGCGACCTACAGGCTGGTCCTCCTCTGAGCATCATCACCAACCAACTCTCTTCTTCTAGCTACAGCCGCAGCAAGTATACACCTCCTCCTCCTCCGCCTGCCTGGCGGTCCTCGCTCCCGCCGGCGAGCATGGTGACCCACAAACTGTCCTTCTCTGAGCATCTTCACCAACCAGCTCTACATCACGCTTGTAACCACGCTGCCACTTCCCAGCACCAAGCCGCACTGTACATCCAATACATGTATACAGAGAGCACATTGTGAGTTTCCTTTCTCCAACCATCCTGAGTGTGAACCCAAACATAACGTACCCCACAATAGAACTGTATAGAGGTCTGCACAAGAGATGCAGAAGTGTTCCCCAAGCAAACATAAAAGGACTTTTAAATGTGAGGTCTGTGCAGCTGCACAGGACCCTTATCACTTAGGGGGCCCCCCTCCTGAATACAATATATTTGTTGTTTAGTGGGGTTCATATTTCAATTCCACTGTGTTGTGTGCACCTCAAAACTGCAGGCAAGTGCATTTCAGCCATCTGGCACCAGTAAGTCTGGGCTTTGGCAGTTTCTGTCTATAAAAACCTGGCAACTGATACTGATTTAGATGATGTTCTCATAAAATTAGGAATACTGTATACTAATACTAATAATGGTTGCCCCTCGCGGCCCTCGGGTAACAAGGATGGCCGGCCCAAGGGCCACCTACTGTAGGCGTGAATTTGGTTAAGGTGTAGAAGCTGTCGCCAAAACAAAAACCGCACCCTAAGTTAACGAGTTGCATGCCCCAGTGTCAAGGAATACAGTGGTCCCTCGGTTAACGAGCACAATCCGTTCCAGCAGGTTGCTCGTTAACCGAAAACTCGTTAAACAAAACCATTGTTTCAATGGGTTTTTGGGTAATTGGTTCCAGCTCACCGAAAATTGCCTAAATTCAACAAAAAAGGTGGAAAAGTACACTTACTTTGAGGTGTGTATGTAGAAGGCTCCTGGATGATGATGATGATGATGATGATGATGATGATGATGATGATGGGAATTAGAATGGGGGTGGAGGAGAAGGAAGAAGAGAAGGCATTGGGGTGGAAGAGAAGTCACCCCATGGTGCCATTTCACCCAAAAAATTTTAGTTCTCTTGATGTATTTCAAGATTATTTTCTTTAAATCAACACTGCACTGCATTACATATTGTCAATATGTAAAATATATTTCAAAATGACCAATAATTTCCTTGGAACACAGAAAAAAAGCGTTTAGTTGAAGAGTGTCTCAAGCAAGATGTTACCTCCACTGAAAACAGAGAGACTAACGCCTGTCTGGTGTGTTAACAGGCTGGATGGCACGCCAGAAACTAGTTTCTTTACCTTCAATTATGTTCAATAATTGTTAAAATGACTAAAAATTTTAATATTAAACTTTTAAAATTATTGAATAGTATAAACTTCTTGATATTTACTAAAATAGTAAGGAATTTAAGCCCTAAAACCGATTACTGTATTGGCGGACTAATACTACAGCTGGTGGACCGCCAAATGTAAGCGAAAACATGTTGAAGTCGGCTCGTAAAAAACTCGTTAATCGAGGGATTGCTCGTTAACCGAAGTTAAGAATCTTATGGAAGGTAAATCGTTAACCGAAATCTCTTTAACCGAGGGACCACTGTAGTCCGAGAAGACTGGACAACTCGCCAACTGCACTGGCTAACCATTACCCCAGAACACGATTCGCAAACCGATTAACATCCGGGTTCCCAATTACTGCTGGGTAGAGAGAGGCAAATGGCGTAAAGGAACTTGCCCATACTGTAGTTTCACCCTGCCTGGGGATCGAACCCGGGTCAACTCACTTGCGAAGCGTGCCTGTTGATTATTACACCACAGGGACTGGGCATGATGGGAGGGTTGTCTAAGGAATGGGTATTGAGAAAGTTTTATCAGAATTTTCCGGAAAATGTGCCCTTCGGAAAATCGTTCCCAAAGCCGGAATTTTCCAGCTTTGGGATCAATTTTCTGAGAAAATTTAAATTCCGGATATCGGAGAGTTCCGGGTTTGAGGGATTCCGACTAACGGAGATATTACTATACAGTATACATAATTGGTAACTTACTGTTCATTGTTCAATGTTCATAATATTGTATAGTACGTACAGTACTACTTTTTAAAAAATCCTTTATTGAAGAATTCTCCTGTTTTTCCTTCAGGAAAACTCAAGTCACTTTTCAGTCATTGTACTCCACACACAGACTTCGAATCTCTCATCATAAGCAGAAAAAGATGACAAGGTTAACACATTCTCTAGCAGTATAACAAAGCCCTCAAATCTCATATTTGATGAGTGACATGCTCAACCACTGTGTGTAGTAAAGGCATGCCAACCTGGCAATTTTTATACCATTCTACATCACAGGATTGATAAACTGGTTCATTACATGCAATAGGCCTTTAATCAACATATCAGAGGTTGAAGTTTTCCCAACAAAATCCTTTCCAAGTCTTAACGAGGGGGCGATCACCCCCTGGCTCTACCTATAGTGTCACCTAACCACACCTAATCTAACCTAGTATTGTACAGTATATCCAATGTTTTTTCAGAACTTTGGCATCTTTCAAAAAATTATACCTTCACTTACAGTATGTTAATTATCACAAGTACTGTCCTACCTGTAACATACATTATAGAATTAGATACTGTTATGCTCAAAGTTGATTATGTATTAAAAAAACTTTTCTCAAGCCAGAATACAAGTTTTTGTACATACCTGTTGATATACAGGAAGCAATAAATTTGTTTGTCTATTAAACTTTTTTATTACATGCTGTTCCCAAGTACTGTACAATAACAAATGTAACTGTTTATGAAGTTTCTTAATGAAGTGACAAATCAATACAATTCTTTTCAAATTACCTGTACAGTAATTTTGTAAAATTGGAAGCAAGAAGCTGAATCCATGGAAAATGAAAATTTTTACCTTTAAAACTAAGTAAACTTCATGAACTATAAGATCCTAAAACCATTAAAAAAATCATAAAATAAGTTTAATTGTTGGGAGTCCTTCTAGAATGTTTCCCATGGGTGCTTATCTCACTAATGGGTCATGGCTCTCACTGGTACTGTCTAGTGCTGAATTCACTGGCTTATACACTGTTCAACACTGATCCCACTTCATTCCGAAACGAAATTGTCATTTTTTATTACGTTGATATCCCGGTGCTAAGGATGGATCAGGGAGAGGGACTTCAGGAATGAGCCGACATGGCCAAGGGGAGTCGCTGCTCAGCAAGAGCAGCGCCTGAATAGGTCTTGACCCTACGGTGGTCAAGGATGTGTGTGTGTGTGTGTGTGTGTGTGTGTGAGAGAGAAAGAGAAAAGGGCAAATATAATTGGTTCAGTACACTTGGTCCTAAAACACTTAGTGGAAAAATAATACATATCTCTTCAAATGTTATCTACCAAGTCCTTTCCATGATAAATATTTTCATTACAGTACCAGTAACAAATATCATCTCTTATGGCAACTTCTTTCTTAGTTCACACTCTAGAAAGGATTGAAATTCTTCTCTATTATCATCATTTACAGCCTCTGCTACATTATAAGGAAAACAGAGTGTACCATCCCTCACAGCAGCCAAGACAGACTGACGACCAGCATTTATACCCCGAGACAAGGCTGACAAGTCACCGGACACTACTTTACCCTTCAGCTGTGCTTCCTTGATTACCTGCCCTACAAGTGATCGCAAATATATGTCTGCTTGATGAGCAACACTGCGGGAACATTGTAAGCGTGCTTCTGCAATTTCTAATTCCCGGTCCTCTAATGGAGGTACAGGTGACATATAACACTGGTGAATCATATTCCATATGTCATCTGATCCCTCAAAATTATCTGACTGAAGAACAAATGTGGTAGACTCCCACTTGTGCTCACTTGGCAGAGGAGGTTGTAATTTTGTTCCCATCATCTTAACCACAATAGTAGGTACACGAATTTCCCTCTGCATATTTTGACTGACAGCCACTTCTGTAGTGCATTCTATATATAACTGACAAAATCCAATTGTGTACTTCCTTGCTAACTGGAAATATTCATATCTCATACTCCTATAATAAAAGTTATCATCTAATAGGATCACAAACAGAGCATCATTTTCTATTACTGTACTTGATAAGCTAAAGAAATTCAAAACAAATAAATTCAGATTTTTTGTTGTTAAGCATTCAATGAGCTGGTCAACTCTGGAGTACACAGCACGTCTTGCACTTTTCCAGTTTTCACCTTCATTTTCATCTTCCTCACCATTCTGTCTAAGCTGAGCAAATTTCACTTGAACTGATAAAGGAATCAGATGATCATAACAAACATGAATTATATTAATTGTCTGTGTTTTACATCTTTTCTTTAAATATAATGGAAGTTTTTCACACACTGATGACTTACCAACTCCTGGTAAGCCTATTAGCACAACAAGTACTACACTTGTTTCCATTTTAAAAAGATTTTCTGTGTTCATAAAAATAACAGGTTTCATTAAACACACAGCATATAATAACACTTCAATTCTTTTTTGTTTTTACACTTGAAACTTGAGACTCTTTTGGTTCTAATTCATCATCAGCCATCATTTTAAGTGTGTCTTGGACTGTACTCCAAGCTGCTTGTGCAGTGGCTTCTTCTTTTTCCCAGTCCTTCTGCTCAGTAGGATTATTAACATTACCTACATTATCAAGATCAAGATTTGAGATATTAATACCTCTTTTGACTACTTCACCCCTGGCTGCTAAGATGTCTTCAATATTCTTTTTACCATCTAGGTCTGAAAACCAACCAAGATTATCTGCCACAAGATGATGCTTTGCACAGCCATCACATGTGACTATTACCACACCTTTTTTATAAGCTAGCTGTGAGATAGTCTTTGATTGTCTTGTGTTACATACTTTACATGTATACACCAACTGAAATTTAGGTTCAATTTTTCCTATTGGCTGATCAATTCCCTCTCCACACTCACCAGCACTTTGGCTACAAAATTTATTGACTGTACAACAGTGGAAATGCTGATTTATGTGGTAAGAAATGGATTTGGGCTGAAACTTTCTTACCAACAAAGTTGGTCTTGGTCTTAGTGAGAAAGGTGTCTTACGTAAGTTCAGTCCTGCCAATCTTGCAGACAATCTTACAATGTGTGCCATATTTAACAGGAATATAAAAGTTAAAAACACATGTCACAAAATGTCTTTACACTTTCTTTGGAAGTGGCAATATGTTGTACCTGAAGTTAAATTTCTTGACCTGCTTGTTGCTGTTCTTGAGCCTGAACAAGGTTTTGTTGTTGAGCCTGTTCAACCTGCTTGTTCATCTCATCAATACGTTTCTGAAGGTAAATGGGTTGTACTTCTGTATAAACAGACATAATCTTGTGATTGACGCTGATGTGCTTCCCAACACACCGATCCACACAAGCAGTCTGAAACAGCATATAAAATGATGAAAACATAACATACATGTATAAATAATAGGTTATACGGTTAACTTCTACATGGCATAATGGGGTCTAAGTACTTCTTGAACAATATGTAATGGTCAATGACACTGCTTATAAACTTGTTTTACTCTCAAGCCATTAAAATAATTTCTTTAAGCTCTGTTGGTTAATAATTTCATAAAGATCTTACTCACAAATGGTAGGAAGATAAATGGTCTGTAAGTAGCAGCTTACTCAGAATATTTACAGTAGATGAACTAATAATAATAAGTCTGCATACCGTATACCGTTTATAAATGCAACTGAAATTGCCTCTTCTCAGGAGTCAAACCCATTACGTAATAGAAATTTACCATACTCACTTCTATTTCGGACAATTCACGGTTGTTAAATCCGGTCACACACAAATTGAAACAGCGTTCTGATATTTGATTGTATAGGACCAGAAAATCTTTGAACTGAAAAAGGAAAGACATTATTACACTTACAAACTGTAACTGAGAAAATGTATTGGGTTAATTTTGATATTTTCAGAAAATGTGTTTTCAATGTACAGTACTGTAATTTTAATCAACTTACATTACAACACATAACCATACAAATTTGGAAAACATTGCTGAAATTATCAAAATACTGGATCAGCAGTCTACTAGATACAGTAGTGATTATGGTAGGACTTCCTCTGAATTTTCTGCAGTTTCTAAATCAAAAGGGAGGTGTTGATAGGACATTGGTAATGTACAGTACTGTATGTGCCTTTCACTATACTATGACCTATATTAAAGTCCCAGCCCAGGTCAGATGTAAAAAAGTTCTGACCCTTCCAAACATCACAAACACTAAACAATGAACATAATAATAAAGTAACAAAGAACAAACCAACCTCTTGAATGTATAGTAAGCTGTTAAGTGGTGAAGTGATGAAATTAAAATTAAAGGCCTTGTTGAGAACTGTTTATAGCAGGATGCCCAGCACTGTATAGTAATCTCCCCATTAGCTGGAATATTTGCCAGAATTTTCCATTACTCAGAAGAAAAATTTGAGCACTCTGAGAAAAATCTCTCTGTTCCAGGCATACGTGTGCCAACACGTACTGAGCGCATGGGTTGGTAGGCTCATAGTGCCCATGAGCTACGATTTATTACTACTGCCATGTGACTGCATGGGATGCCTATGATTGGTTGATCTATCTTGTAGCCTATCTCCTCAAATTCTAGCATCATGACACTCTTAGTTCATTGTCTGCTGCCATTATACAAACTTGTCCACTCACTCACTACTGTTTTCACATACGATCTGTGTTGTATAATACGCTACATTATTGTACCAGGATACAATCAGCCAAGATTATCATTAAAGCAGTGTTAAGATGCAATAAATTATTACAGTTACGTATACTGTACTTGTACATTCAATACGCGTGAAAGTACCATATGTATAGTACTGTACATAGCGGAACAGACAGTGTATGCCTACTATAGGCTTGTGTGTAGAGGGTGTATGTACAGTATACACTGCATGTACACTCACTCCTTCATGGAGGGAGAAGAGTGAGTTAGCAACACCTGCTACAGCAGATGGTACATACTGGGTATCACCACTTGGCCTGCCTGTTTCACAAGCTCAAGACAACTGCATCTGCTGGTGAGTACAGTATAGTATATACTGTAAGTGATATGTGTTTTGTTTATTTACAACATACTGTATGTGTACAGCAGTGTTTGCATAAATAAATACCACACTGTGTATATCCGACTGCAGTTAAGCCTCCGTAGCAACGGTGCTCTGTGCCAGATGCGTAGTTTAGACGCTGAAACATTCACCTGTGCCTGGAAAAATTCCATAGAAGTGTGATTTTTTGGGGGGATAAGAAAATTAGTTTCAATACTGTCCTGTACCCACAAATCTCTCAAACCAGGAAATGCTCTGCACCAATTGTTCTGGCTGAAGGGGAGATTACTGTAATTGGTTAAGAAAATTTTGCCCAAACATTTCCTATATTTTTTTAAATCTTTCCTGGACATTTTAACATGCTTCTTTTCTCGTATTTAATGATACAATGATACATAGGAATATTATAAACAATCACGTCCAAGCACTGACTGATATGCTCATATCCTAAATATATATCATTGTACAAAAGTAGAGTAGAGCATAATACTGTACAATACTAACACTACTATTAAATAACAGTAAACGTTCAGTAACAGATGTTTTCCCAGCCATAGTTCAGCGTATGTGCATTCTGTGGTCTCTTAACAAGTGCTCACACACTACACATAAGTACATACTTCCTGACTGTACACAGTACACAATATGTGGATTAAAAAAGAGAGACACAAGAGAGTGGACTGCAAAAAAAAATTAGCAATGTTTATTTTAAATTTTCATTGTTTAAAGCTGAACTAAATGAACTAAGCAAGCCATCTGGACCCCCAGAAAACTCTCATAGAGCCTGCTAGGGGGAGCTATAGCTTTTCCAAAATGGTAAATTACAATTCCTTTGGTTGATACAGTCTGTTTTGGTTCACATCATCTGCTATACAGGAGTGTCCACTGTCTTTGTTTACATGTCAAGAAAGGAACGGCGATCTCATCGAGTGTGTACAGTATTACGATTTATATTGGATTGAATTCGTTCATTCTTTCTAGAGATTTTGTATGAATGATAGTAAGAAGATCAAAATGACAATGCACATGTTAGGAAATTAGGTGAGTTAGGTAAAGTTCTAATAAGTTAGGTAGGCTAGGTAAGGTTCCATTTTCTTACTTAATATCATCCAAATGACATCTCCTGACAATTTGGTACAATTCCGTAAGTCCTTGTGGTGCTAATCGTCTGCTCCACCATTACTCATCAAGCTCAACATGATGCCATGCAGGATGAATATGAGGAAATACTTCTTCAAACAGGTGCAGAATAGAAAACAGTATTGGGCATCAAAACAGCCCTAGACAAAACTATCAAGAACAATGGAGGAATCCTACACAGGCCACTGGCCTTCTTCCCTCGACAACGAACACTTCTAGTTTGGGTGGCCATTAGGTACTGTAAATAAGGTAAAACTCACAATAATATACTTCATTCCTAGGTAGTAGCCAGGTTTTGATTTTTCCATAAAAAATAAGTTTTTCCTATGGTTCTTGTTGTGATTCGAACAAATCTGACCTTCATTTCTGGTACTAACCTAACTTAACCTAACCGAAACCTGGCTACTATCCTAAATTGACCATTTCATCTTATCTACAACAAATCATACAGCATAGTTTAATAAAAACAACTCAATGTGGTGTCACTAGTACCTAATTTTTGGACGTGGATTTGTGTTTAGGATGAAAAAAAAAATGCCAAAACAAAATTAAAGTAAGTCTGAATTCCTCCACTTGGTTTGGGATATCTTACGTAGTGGATATTTTGCTGTGACCGTTAAGTTCCTACTAACGCTATTTTACCGTTAGTGGGCTTTGATTGGCTAAGTACTTTTTGTTTAATATGATGGGGGGGGCTGCCACCCGGCTAGGAAGTTAGGTAAGGTAAGGTAGGTTTCTTTGGTTGGTTAGGTCAGGTTCTAGTAAATGCCAGAGTCACGGTCAAATAAAATACTCACGTTGTTCTCCGGTAATGGACAATTAGCCGACCAGAGCGCACTCACGGTAAAATAGCATTAGTAGGAACTTACCGGTCACGGCAAAATATCCACTGCCTATTCTTAAGGTACTGGTAAGACACAATAGTTGTAGTACAGTATTAACCAAAGAAACGTGTACAGCAAAGCAGAGTACGTAGAATAATATATCAATGTATTTCATTAATACCCTTAACCAGAACTTTTCAAGCATTAATTGGAAAATGACCACCGGATGAGCCTAACACTGCTGCCTCTACCTAATAAGTTATTCAACACACCACACCATCTTATCACTCTCACCTGTCGTACATTGGAGGTAACGTCAATATCCATTATAGTAGAGTAATCAGGGGTAATAATTCCTCACACATTTGGTAACCTGGGATGAGAATTATGTTATGTAGCACGTCTCTCACTCCTCCCAGTGTGGCAGACGATGGATCAGCTGAGGTCGGTAAGCCGGAGTTAACCCCCAGGTGTTAGATAAAGCCATAGCACATGTTAAAGATATACAACGAAAGGAATTACTAAATTCAACAAAATAACACCTACCTTCCTTTTTATTTTATATTTTCATGTAGCTTTGGCTAAATACACAAAGCCAGAACTGTGGTTGATAGTGTTGTTAGCAGCTACTGCATATATGCGACCTCAATATTTGTTTTAAACATTTTTGTTACATTCTTTTTTTCTGATTTTCTTATATCCATTGCCAGTTTGGTAAGTGACCAAAAACACTTATTTTCTGTGAATTGGAAATTATTGTTCTCTTCTAGTGAAGTAGATGCAGACTAACATAGTAACAGCAAAAACAATGAAAAAGCAGCACCCAAAACTTAATGTACAGAAAGGGCAAGACAGTACTGTAGGTAGTGCTTGAATGAGCGAAAATTAATTTCAAGGTCTTAAACACATTTACTGTACTAAAATTACAACTTTCTGACCCCAGATCCGCCATCAGTCTGAAACATTGAGATTTATTCATTACATTTAGCAACAGCAGCAGCACTTGAGAAACAACTGGAAGCACGCCGAGACCTGCATCTCTGCCCCCGAAGGTACCACTTGGACATGACCTTGCCATGGGAACAAACCAAGTTGGTGTGGGGTATGAGATGTTTGGTTCACACTCAGGATGGAATGGAGAAAGGAAACTCACAATGTGCTCTCTATATACATGTTGTATTGGATGTACAATGCAGCTTGGTGCTGGGAAGGCAGCGTGGTTACAAGCGTGATGTAGAGAGAGCTGGTTGGTGAGGATGCTCAGAGGAGGACAGCTTGTGGGTCGCCATGCTCGCCATCTCGCCAACCTTTCACAAAAGACTCTCTTTGGGGCGTGGCTTCATAAAAGTGTTGCAGATCTCCTGAAACTGAATGTCCCTATCACCCCAGACGAACCTATTAATGCCATTCCTCCTTGGCTGGACATATCAGTTCCTATTAATTACACTCCTGTTGGTAGTAAGCAAATGTTAAACACCGATGTGGTGAGATGTGTCACACTAGAAACTATTAACAGACACATAGAGAGTATTAAATCAAGTGAATGTTATGTTTTTACTGATGGTTCTGTGCAGACAAACACAGGTAGAACAGGCTGTGCAATTGTAATATATAAAGAAAAAGAGATGATAGTGTCAAACAAACAAAGGCTGAACAACTGGGCCAGCACAACACAAACTGAACTAACTGGAATCTACTTAGCCACAGACTACCTCAAAGAAAATGGAGGTGGGGTGATATTCTGTGACTCTCAAAGTGCTTTGAAATCAATGAACAGCCCGTCAGGTTCTATGTCTAAAGTTGCATGTGATATTAAAAGGAATGTGATAACTGCCAATGAGAACAACTTTCGTATCGAATTTGTGTGGATTCTGTCCCATGTTGGAATCAGGTATCATGACCGTGCTGATAGACTGGCCAATGAGGCATGTAAGAAAGAAAATGTTGACCGCGACCTTGGTCTGTCCAATGCCGTAATTAAAAACATTCAAGTCAGAATCATGAACTCTGATCTAGAAGAAGTGAGAAATGCAGAGAGACCTGACAGTTGTAGCATTAGTAAATATGACAAATTTTGTAACAAGAGGTACCGGTATGGCCAGCATAAGGACAGAACCAGACAATGTGATGTAGTCGTGGCCAGAATTAGGCTAGGATACAGACACATCTGGCAAGTTAGTAACGCTGTACCCATACCGGAACACTCAGCATGTAAACTTTGTGATAAACCTTTAAAGCATACACTTGAACACTATATTATTGAATGTGACACTGTCAAAGACTTCAGGCCACCTGACTTACTGTATCTTGAACTATGTAATTACTTCATTGAATCAGGTGTGCTTGAGGACATTCTTGCTGTTTATCCCAAATTTGCTAGCCCACACTGATTAGTCTTCAATTAGAATATGACTCCAATGTATGTGATCCACTGACCCATATATGCTGCTGGTGAATGTGATGTATTTCCTTCTTTGTGTACGAACCTCTGTCCTGCGTGGCAGTGAACAGTGGCATTACCCACATGAATCTGACCTATATATAGTGTCAATGAATATGATGCATTCTTTGTGTACGAACCTCTGTCCTGTATGGCAGTGAAAAGTGACATTACCCACATGAATCTGACCGACGTATATGTATGTATGTGTGCGTGTGTGCATGTATATGTACGTGTACATGTATATGTGTATGTATATACGTATATGTATGTATATGTGTGTGTGTGTGTGTTTACATATATGTATATGTACTGTCAATGAATATGATGCAACTCTTTGTGTACGAACCTCTGTCCTGCATGGCAGTGAACAGTGACATTATCCATATGAATCTGACCTCTATACATTTATAGTTGTTAATGAATATGATGTATTTCTTTGTGTGTGAACCTCTGTCCTGCGTGACAGTGAGAAGTGATACCACCCTCAGTGTCAAGACCTGACTGAATTACTCAGAATAGGCAAACTGTACTACAAGCTCTGCCAATAAATTTGTTAAACTAAAAGCCAGCGAGAGAGACGACCGCCAGGCAGGCGGAGGAGCGAGGGAAGGCCGCCAGGCAGCGGCGGAGGAGGTGGTGTTGCTGGCTGCGGCTGTAGGTAGAAAAAGAGTGATCACCACGAGGTCAGGTCTTAAATAGCGGGGGGTAGGCGTGGCTTAGCAGTTGACCCCCGCTCCGTGATGTATGGCGGCGCTGGTTGACCTAGACCACGATGCATACACTGGGGAATTGGTGGGGTCGGCTAGGCAGCGATAAACAGCGTTTGTAGGGGAGAATTCCACTATAGTGGTACGGCTGAACCCGTCCAAGGGCACCCCCCCCCCCCAAGAAACTAAACCTCTTTGTCCTGAGGAAGTTTTTTGACTCCTCAGGGATAAAGGGGGTTACGTTACGAAGGCCGTCAGCAGACCTGTGAGCAGTGGCCTCATGGTCACCTTCTCTGAATGAGGACAGGCCGAGCAAGTGGCAGACATCGACTTCATCAACGACATCCAAATTATAATCGAAGTCCATGAAGAGGACAATCTGGTGATGGGAGTGATCTCCTACATCGAAATTGAACATCTAGAACAAGACGTGCTGGCCGAATTACTCAGTAACCAGCTCCACGTTATCAAGAAGCTGACCAGTATAGTGGCCCTGGCCAGCGACTCCAAAATCCTACCCAAATTAGTATGAATGGGAAGGGAAACCATCCCAGTTAAACTGTATGTTGCTAAGCCTACAGGGTGCTACAAATGTCAATGATACGGACACCCAGCCAAGAAGTGCCGGGCTCGGGAGGCATGCACACAGTGCAGAATCACTGGGCACCAGCACACCACATGTTCCAGCAAGACAAAGACATATACAGCTTGTGGGGGCTCACACTCCTCCTCCGACCAGGTGTGTCCCAGGTGGAGGGAAGAGTGTAGGATAGCCAAGCTGCGATGCGAGAAAAAACTGAGCTACAAATAGGCTATTGTAGTGGAATTCTCCCCTACAAACGCTGTTTGTCGCTGAGTAGCCGACCCCATCAATTCCCCAGTGTATGCCTCGTGGTCTGGGTCAACCAGCGCCGCCATACACCACGGAGCAGGGGTCAACTGCTAAGCCACACCTACCCCCGCTATTTAAGACCTGACCTCGTGGTGATCACCCTCTTTCCACCTACAGCCGCAGCCAGCAACACCTCCTCCTCCGCCGCTGCCTGGTGGCCTTCCCTCGCTCCTCCTCCGCCTGCCTGGCGGTCCTCTCTCTCGCTGGCGAGCATGGCGACCCACAAGCTGTCCTTCTCTGAGCGTCCTCACCAACCAGCTCTCTCTACATCACGCTTATAACCATGCTGCCTTCCCAGCACCAAGCTGCATTGTACATCCAATACAACATGTATATAGAGAGCACATTGTGAGTTTCCTTTCTCCATTCCATCCTGAGTGTGAACCAAACATATTATACCCCACACTATCCTCAAAGTTAAGAAACAAGAAAAAAATTTGAAGAAAAGAAACAAGAGAAAGAAGAAGTTGAAGAAGAGAAGAAACAAGAGGACAAAGAAATAGAAGAAGAGAAGAAACAAGAGGACAAAGAAATAGAAAAAGAGAAAAAACTTGAAGACAAAGAAAACAAGGAAGTAATAGAACAAGATCAAAAACATATTTTTTTTGAGCAACAAGATCAAATGTGGACCGTCCCGAAGAAGAAGAAAAAGAACAAATAGAAGGGAACGAGAACCTAAGAACAACAAGAATACGGCCCTAATGACCTATGATATTGACGGCCAGCAAAACAAAACAACCAATCAACCATTAGCAACAAATTTTACAATCAAAGATACAGTACTGTAGTTTGAGTTTTGAACTACTGCCCTTTCCCCTGATAACTATGATAATTGTGTATGAGCTTCCAAATTCACTTCTTGCCAGTACCAACATTAACTGGGTGAACATTACCACTAGTGTTCCATTCTCTGAATACATAAAGTTCAAGAGAAAACTGAAATTTGAGCTAGGTCAGGTTAAAATAATGAAATAAGAGTATCTATCTTAATTTTTTTATTTGCAAGTAAAATAATTCTTACATTGAAGACATGAGATGCATAAATCTTCTCACTACATTGTGACACATATTTCTTGTTCACTGTTAAACATTTAGTTCAATAATATCACAAATTAAGGATATTAGAGTCATAGGAACCCTTTAAACCTGCAGTCTGCCCATGTTATTCCAGACACAAAGCCCCTGATTATTCAACATCTTAGAACAATAAAGGTTAGTTACTGAAGGAGTACTTTTCTATATACAGTACAGTACTGTATTCAAAATGCAAAGGTAAGTATTGATTTACAGTACAATACTCTTATTTCACATGCACTGTAACTTACACATTAAAAAAATGCACTAAAAATGATGGAATGATTCTGAAATCCCATTTTTTAACTAAACATGGACATGTCTGCTAAGTCTCGGAGCTAAGCAATGATCACACATAGCT